TCACGGCTGGCTCCTGCCCTCCCCCTTCCTCCCTAACCACCTACCGGGAGTAGCCGCCCGCTCCCCAGATCAGTCTCGTTTCCCATCCCGCCAGCGCTTCCCTTTGTGGCATGCTCCTTTGAACTTCAAATAACCGGTCTCCCACCTCCCTGCACTCGACTCCTTCAAAGCGCCCCCACTCACTCGCCGGGCCCTGCTAACTCTCCCGCAGCGTGGGGCACTTACCTGCGCCCACGCTAATCCACTTTTCCTCCCAATTAAGAAACCCAGACCCTCTGCTGACCAGCTGCTCGACCCCTCTGCTTGCACCTGAGTGTGCTCAAGCAAGGGAGAGCTTGAGAGGGGACATGAGGCATGGTGCAACAGTTTCTCAAAATTACCCATGATTGAGTTGTCTTGCTCCAGATCATGTCTCTGTGGAGGACTGCCCTGGCTGGGTCACATCCAGAGGCTATGGAGACACTGCCATGACCAGAGCAGACCCTGACAAAGCCCTCAGCATGTTTTTTGCAGTGCCAACCCCAGCCCGGGGCCAGTGCTGTTGTAACTGCCATCCTGGTCCTGGGTTGTGGGATGGATGTGTCACATCCCTGACTGGAGACAACACTGATGACCACCACAGCCAGACAGCCACCAGTGGGATTTTTCGGCCACTGCACTCCCCATGGCAATTACAGCAGTGGGTGCAATCTCTGCCATCATTTACTGGGTCTGTGCTGGCCAGGGTGGTTCAGGGGCTGGCTGCACCCTGTGGGGCAGCGAGTTCGGCCATAGAGGAGGATCACCGGTGATGGGTGTCTGCCGGTGCCTGGTGATCTGCCCAGCGTGGCCTGCAGGGATCTGTGGGTCATGGAGAGTCCCTCGCCAGGTGAAATTGCTCAGATCCAGTGCTGTGCCCCAGTCACACTGTTGTCCCTGATGGTGCCTGAAATGGGAAGCAACACTCAGACCTCACCCCACGGGTGCTGCCCAGGAGATGCTGTCCAGTGCCCGTCTCTCCCATCCCCCAGACCCCTCTGCCCCGAGGGATGCAGCCAGAGGCTGCAGGGCCATGGGACAGGACACTCACGTGGGTCCTGGACACGGCCATTGAACTGCCCCTGTGTGGAGGAGAGATGGGAGAGGGTGCTGAGCGCCCCAGGGCACACGCTTACTGGGCTGCCATCGTGGGGGCAGCCCTGCTCCTTCCCCTCACCGCCCCTCTGCTCCACCATGTCCCAGGAGCTGCGGAGGGGGTGAGGGGAGGGCATGCCATTGGTCACAGACCCCCAGCCTCGACCCTGAGGGGTGCTGCCAGGAGCGGGTCACCAGCCAGGCTTTGCACTGCCAGCTGCACCCCGTCAAGCCCATCGTACTGGCTGATTTCCACCTACCTGGATGTCCCCTTACCCAGCACATGTGTCCCTGGCATGGCCTTGGGTGCTGAAGGGGATTGCAGCAGGGGCTGTACTACCCCAAGTACCACCACCTTTCAGTGATGCCCAAGAGAGCGGCAAGCCAGCCTGCCAGCATGCATGCTGGTATCCCCACATGTCGGTGCACACCGTTGTCATGCTTGGAGGATGCTGTGCTGGGGAAGCTGCAGCCCCAGAACCCCCCTGCTGCCAGCGCTGCCCATGGGGGCTGAGCCCAAGTCTTTTCCTTTTCATGGTCACTACAGTGCCACTAAGCACCATGTTCCCAACCTCACCAATGAATGTGGATCCAGCCATGTGTCACCTCCTCCTCGCTGCGCAGATGCCCAGTGCAGGCTGGGCCGGCTCCAGTGCTTCCTCGGGCTCTCCCCTCTGCCACCTCTCACCCGTGGTTCATCCTCCCGGGGGGTGTGCATCCTGCTCACCTCCTCCTGGGGCACCTTCCCCAGCAAATCAGGGTTCCCTCAGTGACCTGCAGCAGCCCCAGACCTGGCACCAGGACCCAGCCCTGCGGCAGGCAGCAGCACCAGCACTGTGCTGTCCCACCCTGCCCACTACAGAATTTCTGCACCAGCCTGGCCACCGACATGGCTGTCCCCCAGCCAAATCGCCATGTCTGTGCCCATGGCTCCCATCAGTGCCGCATCCTCAGCCTGGGGCAGAGATGGCTCCCACAGACCACAGCCAAACGTGGGGTACATTAAACACAGCCCTTGCACTGCTTCTCCTGGCTGCCTGCAAGGACGCTACAGGAGCCTGTGCCAATGTGCATGGCTGCCCCTTGCTACCAATGCAACTGTCCCAGCCACGCAGCACCCACCTCTTGCCCAGGAGCAGCTTGCCAGGCTCTCGGCTGCTGCGGGAGGAGCAGAAGGCAGCTGTGAGCCTCTGGCCTTGCTCACTGTGACATGTCATGTCATGCCATGCCATGCCATGCCATGGGGCCAGGGCTCACCTGCAGAGCAAGCTCCAGGCCACACAGCCCAGGGCAGCCAGAAGCAGGGCGGCAGAGACAGTCAGCACAGCCACAAACCAGACCGGTGGGTGCCACACTGCCTCTTCCCGCATGACAACCATCATCTCCTTCCACAGCGTCTGTGGAGGTGGTGGGGTGAGGGGGAATGTGAGGGCCGAGGCATCTGACAGACCCAGGAGCACTGCCTGACCAGCGGGCTCTACTCACCGTGCGCTGGGTGGTGATGCTGGGTGGCACTGGGGTGCTCTGGGGGGTGACATGCACCACCAGTGCCACCACAGTGCTGTGGCGGGGGGCACTGGGGCCACCCCACACCTCCACCAGCAGCACAAAGGTGCGGGGCTCGGCCAGATCATTGGGGAGGTAGAAGAGGGTGTTCCCCTCCAGCTGAAAGCGCCCATCCTCGTTGCCTGGATGAGAGGGTCTGCTCGGTGCCATGCCACAGTGAGGGGCTGGGTCATGTTGTGGGTTGGCCGCTCCTCACCTCCAACGATGGTGTATGCCAGCGTGGCAGTGCTGGGGCTGCCCTCGCATGCCAGGCAGGTGACAGGTTGGCGGCCGCCTGACCTGGCCATGACCCGCAGCTCCTGCACCTCGGGGGTGCACACCGGTGCCTGGTCCGGCATGGCCTGCCAGAAGCAGGGGAAGGCGATATGGCACCCATGGTGCTTGCACCTACCATGGTTCACCTGACAGGCTTGCATTTGCACCTGCACGCGTACAGCCACATCGCACAGGCGGTTCCACGACTTTGCCGGGTCCAGGTTGTTGTGGGTGTCCGTCAGCCGCACCATCAGCCTGTAACTCTCATGCCGCTGGGAGTCAAGGGGTCCCACTACACGGATCTCACCTGCAGGGCAGCACAAGCTGGGTGCCATGGGGTGCAGTAGGAGTTGGGTAAGGGGCTGGGCACTCACCAGTGCGTGGGTCAATGGAGAAGGGCTGTGTGGGACCGGGACCCCCCTCCAGGCTGTACTCTAGGCTGTCTGGGGGGTAGTCACGGTCAGTGCCGGCCACACGCCCCACAACACTGCCGAAAGCTGCTGTCTCTGGCACAGTGAAGGTGGCACCGTTGGGGCACACCGGTGTGAATTCGTTGACAGGCGTCACCGTCACAAGCACAGGCACATGGGCTGTGTGGCACACAGCAGCTCAGCCACGCTGGCACCACCCTGCAACCCACCTTGGACCAGCTAGGGGGCACAGGGACAGTGGCACCACCCCAGGGCAGGCATCTCCAGGGAGGAATGTTTCCTCTGTGATCTGCTGGTTTTGGGGTCGGGAAGGGCCTTTTCCCACTGACTTCCCCCATTGCACCCCCTGGGCACCCCTCAGGGACATGGACACTCACTGCTCCGTGGGGGCTGCCCTCCCGCCATCACCATGATGGTGGCCGTGAACTGGAAGCCCACAGCGGCCACGGCTTCCGAGTCATAGTCCAGGGTGGTGTTGACCTGCAGAGCCAGTGCAGGGGGGATCAGGCAGAGCCAGGGTGCCCTGTAAAGCTGGGGTGCTCTGCAAAGCTGTGATGCCAGGGAAGCCGGAGGGACCAAGGTGGGGAACAGGCAGGCCAGGGGAGGGCAGAGACCCTTGGGAGCCCCAGCCCAGGACCCAGCATAACAGCACGTGTCAGATGGTCCCCACTGTCCTGCTGGGCTCCCCCAGGTCCTGGGGGCTGCCCATTGCCCCACTCACCTGCAGCTGTGGCCCCTCCATGCGGAAGCGGGAGCGGGAGGCGGGGGGACCCTCGAGGGCATAGCGCAGACTCCCCTCGTTGCCGGTGGGGTCAGTGCACCTCAGTGTCACCAGGGTGCTGCCAGGGGACACCGTCTCTGGCACCTGGGACCTGCAGTGGGGTGGCCAGTGGCTCAGCTCCTGTCCCCTGTGTCCTGGGCACGGCAGAGCATCCCCCATGCCCCACTCCCCCCACAAACTGTACACAGAGAGGGCCGGGATGCAGCTTGGCGCCTGCCGGTCTGTCCCCTGCATGCTGATGTTGACCGTGATGGTGTCACGGTCTGTGGGGTACAGTGCATTGTAAGCCTGGACAACGAGGCGTATATGGGCCACCTCCAGCTGGCAGGTGCTGCGGATCTCGCCTGTCACTGCAGAAGACAGCACAGCGTCACGATGGGCACAGGGACAGGGACAAGGTGGCCCTGGGGACCTTGCCGCCCTGCTCACCCTCATCAATGGTGAACAGTGCAGGTGCTGTGGGAGCCACAATGGCATAGCGGACTTTGTCACCACTGGCGTGGACCTGCGTGACCACCTCCAAGGGGCCAGTACCCTCTGGCACTGTCACGGCCTGCTGTGGCTCGCTGCAGGCAGGGTGGGCAGCGTGGCATGGCCTGGTGCCACCAGCACTCCTCACCCGGCCCAGCCCCACTCACAGGAAGGTGACACGGGGGCGGCGCGATGGCAGCACCTCCACCCTCACGGCCCCACTGCAGTTGTGCCCACGGCGGTCCATCACCTCGATCTCCAGCCTGAATATCTGCGGGGCAGCGCCAGGGCAGCCATGGGACAGCTCCAAGTGGCACCAGGGACAGTTATGGGGACAGGGATGGGGTTGGAGACAGGGTAGGGATGGGGATGAGGATAGTCACAGGGACAGGGACAGGAATGGGGATGGAGACAGGGATGAGAATGGGGCTTGGAGCAGGAACAGGGATGGGAATAGGGGTGGAGATGGGGATAAGGATGAACTGGAGACCAGAATGGGTATGGAAATAGGGCCAGGGATGAAGACTGGGACAGGAGTCGAGATGCAGAAGGAGATGGAGCCGGGGATGAGGACAGGAATAGGGACAGGGCTGGAGCATTCCCAGGGCCAGGGGCAGATGGGTGCCTGATGGGGAGAGCTGCAGGCAGTGCCAGCGAGGGGCTAAGCCCAGGCGGGCTGAGAGGTGGCTCTGACAGCCTGGGGACACTGCTGCCCACCTGGGTGTCCTTGCTGGGTTCGAAGCCACCAGCAGGCGCCAGCACAAGGCCCCGGCGGGTGAGCACGAGTGGTGTGTCATGGTTTCGGAGCCTGAACTGTGGAGAGACAGGCAGTGGGAGGAGGGTGGGAACCCCTGTCCCCGCCTCCACGCTCGGGGTCCTGCCATCCCCAAGGCTGCTCCTGCTGGTGGGGATCCCGGGGCAGCCGCCCCTCACCGGAA